TAGTTGCCAATATGGGTGGTTAGATGCTCCCTAACCCACTGCAGACATGCCTAGCTTTGTCGGTTGACATGGCCCTGTCCCAAGGTGAAAAAACGTCGGATGCTCCTATCAAATAGTTCAACTGCAAATGGATGGTGAGTGAAACAGACACACGCAGTTGAACAAGTTGAAGGGCTTCCCTGCTTGAGATAGAATCCAGTCAAGGTGTGATATATTTTACGGAGAGCAAGAGAATCTGACTGAACTATGACAAAGAGGCAACGATAGAAGAGCGGGCAAGGGATGATAAGAGAGAGGGGTGTACCCGTTTCCCGCGGGTACAACCCTGTTGGCTATTGACACATGGTTTACGAACAACCATGAGTATATTCAATCTCGACTACACTAAACACCGACAATAACATGAAATAATAAATTATCAGAACTCTCCCTCGTGTTTCGAGTCTCAATTTATGCGATCCAGTACCACACCTTCTCGATGAAGTTACGTGGGTTGTCCGGAGGCCATTCCACAGCATCCAGAGCAGCTTTGCCTGACCAAATATCGGCTTCCGCAGGATCGACGAATTTTGTCCGCTTATAGACCTTCCAGAAGAGGTAGAGTGCGAAGTAAATGGGGACCCCGAGGTAGGCAGTGAGAAAACTTTGGACTTTGAACTCAGGCGCAAAGGCATCGAAGCCATTGAAAACGATGATGACGGAGAAAAACACCAAGGAAAAGTACGCGGGTATTGGTTGCCAGGGAGCTCGGAAGACCATGGAACTACGATCCACGCCTTGTGCTTTGATTGCGTGGTGGAATCTAATGCAGGCGACACTGATGGAAACCCAGGTGAAAAGCGAAGCGACTGTGGTCAGATTTTGGAACCAGAGGAAGACAGTGTTGGCGCCTGCGCTGGTGGACATGAAAGTGAGAAGTCCAAAGGATCCGGTGATCAGGACGCAGTAAATCGGCACACCCCTATATGGGAAGAAAGAGTCAGCAAGTTCTAATGGCCAAAAGGCCTACGGATGTTCGATGTTGCTTACAGTTTGGTGCATTTAAGGAGAAACTTTGGCGCTTGTCCGTTTTGGGCCAATGCATAGAGGTAGCGACTACCTGTGTACAAGAATGCGTTACCCGACGAGGATGCGGAGGTTAAGATAACCGCATTGATGATGGATGGGAGGACTGGAATTCCGGCACTCTTAACGGCGATGACCCATGGAGAGGCGGCGCCGTTGCTTGACGACGTCTTTCGAGCATCCAGCAGATTTTTGTCGTTATATGGAACTAGCATTCCGATGGCAAGAGATCCCAAGACATAAAAGGCAAGAATACGCCAAAAGACTCTCCGGATAGCTTTAGGGATGTTTCGTCGTGGATTTGCTGCCTCACCAGCCGCAGAAGCAACCATTTCTACTCCTCCGTACGAGAATGCAGCATTCACCAATGTCGAGAAGAAACCAAGGAATCGGCCTTTGTCACCTTTTGCAACATACTCATTCATTGCACCAGGATTTTTCCAGTACCGGAATCCTCGTCGGTCATGATCGGGACCACCCCCAAGATCAATAATAAGCGACAGGATAAGGAGGCCGACAATGGTGACAATCTTGATACTTGCAAAGATGAACTCCGCCTCACCATAGATGGCCACAGCGAAGACGTTCAGAAACATAATGAGCACCCAAACTAGTGCGATCCACGCTCCGACGTTAATTCCCTTTGCGCCTGGCCAGAATTCAATAAGAAGGGCGGCGGCGGCGATTTCAACACAGATAGTGATGGCGCATTGATACCAAGTCTATTTAACTGAATCAGTATTTGAGCTGTCCGCTATAATTCCCGTGTCCCGTTCTTCTCTTTATTTAAATTTTCATTCAAGGAGTGCAACGTACATTCCAGCCGACAGCAAATCCCATAGCTTCGTCAACATACCGGCCACAGAAATGAGGGATAGCTCCAGGAAGGGGAAGCCATGTTGCCATTTCACCGAGAGACATCATCTGCAAGATCCTAGTCAGCCTTAAGGTTCAGAGAGGAGTTCGAGGGCGGCTTCTACCATTCCGAAGATTGCAACTCCAGTCAATGTATAACCAAGAAGAATACTGAGTGGACCACCCTGAACATGAGCACGACCAATGCCCAAGAAGAGACCTGTGCCTATAGATCCACCCAGGGCGATGAATTGAATGTGTCGGGATTTCAGTCTATTAGGTCACGTCAGCCCACAGAGCCAGAGACATTTGACATTTTTCGCGTGGCTATCGGAACGATATTGGAACGACATACCCTCGAGTAACATAGCCATAACGTGCGGCAGTTTCAGCATCACCGTAGAGGCCAGCAGCTTCGCTGAACTGCAGCTCCTTGGCATCGATGTCTTTTCCCACATTGTTATAAGGAGGAATCCGTTCTGATGCCTCTTCTTTCGACATTGCGGGCAGTGATCGCAAGAAATTCGCCCACTACAAGAAGAAAAGACCGTGTTGTGGTCGGCGATTAACTTGGAGATATTTCACTTTCTCAAACCCCAACCCCGTCTGTTTTTTGGCTTTCCGGACCAGAGATCGCAGGAAGATAAGAGCGGCCGGGTACACTAGTGTTCTGGAAGGGAGGCTGGCAGGTTCATATATGCAAGGACTCCAACAATGAGCTGAGTGCAACTTCAAACTCTTGTACTGCGGGCAGCTAAGCCGATATGCAACGTTGTTCCCCTCTTCGACTACACGAGCCCCTTGGCTTACTGGATGCTATATCGGCTATGTAATAATAATGATGAAACTTCCTAGGGTTGTGAATCTTGTGACGACGGAAATCACAGGCATTTTTTGGGCTGCCTCCAGCCACCCTACACGCCCGGCACTAATGTTCCTCTGTGGCGGAAATAAATTGGGTGCTCGTGAGAGACTTGCTTAGATAGGGTTTGTCGGTGGAGATCTTCAAAATGAGCAACCTCTGATAAAATCGAAACCTGGCTGTTACTTTTTGGCTTTTTTGGGGTAAATCAGACGCGACAATCTGGGATTTTTGCCTGCGTGGATACAGCAGGGGCTTTCGCCTCACAGCTCTAAATCTTACTGGTCTCTCCCATTTACGAAGCACTGTGTGCTTGTGCTTTCGGGTGAGGGTGTACGAATGAGTCCAAGCCGACGGCTGATCTTGCCCTCATGGGTCAGCTGAGGGACAAGATATTATTGGAAAACGGGAACAGTGTTTTTGATGATTTCTTTCTTTGTTTAAGCTTCTTTTTAGCATAGTTGAAGTAATGCAAGCAATGTCAGAAGCAATCGTATTTCCTTTGTTTCTCGGTCGGTATCATCCCATTACCTCCCCCTCTCTGGGGTTAAAGCATGATTCTTCGGACTATTTCATGTCCTCTTTTTCGAAAGACCAGACAGTGGCAGCGACGTGTCCTGTACTATTATTCTTGTCTTGATGAATGTAACATGTAGAGTTCGAATCCTTATCGTTCGGTTATATTTTCAGCAGAGGCGTTTTTGGGGGCTTGGGCCTTGGCGCATCATTCTGATCCTCAACGTTACAAGCAGTGACTGATGGCTGGAGAAATGAAATATGATGAAAGGGATCGACATCCATGGCATCCACATTCATGCCTGCTGACATTTCTAATTCGGCACAGCATTGATTGGCTAGGTTGTCACAAATGCTAGAAGATCGCAAGGATAGCCCTGGATCGGATGGATCTGTGGTTGTATCGAAATGCATCAGAGTAAGGTACATTTTCTCTCCGGAGGTATCAGAAAATACTGCCCTGGTAGGAGTAACGACCCTTACACATCCTTTGGTGTTTATCGCTGAGTTACCTTAAACATGTTTGGCTTTCTGCGAATTGAATGACAGAAGGGACAAGATATGAAAATGTTGGTTGCTAGTTTCTGGTGGATGGCGGAATAAAGTATGATTCGGCTAGTTTACACGCTGTTTGTCGAGTGTCTGGAGTTCCCCGCATCCGGAAGAACACACTTGTCTTAAGTTCCTGCTAATAGATGAAAATCACAGGTCTGTGTCTCTGTCGCTGTGATATCAGATGCAACCACCTAACACCAAGTAATAATGACAAGAGGGGAGGGCTACTTCTCCACCATGTCTCATTCTTCGCGATCTTTTACTTTCCAAGCTTTGATGCTCATGTTGTTTTCGACAGCGACTCTACCAACATCTCATTAATGGTGGCATTTTGGCATGAAGGAGACTGTTCAGCAAATAGTTCGGATACTGGCGGAGATTTCTCCGTAGAGACGATTAAAATTCAAGCGTTATCAGCTTGTTGTGGGGTTGATCTTGTTATTGCTCCTTCCAGAATCTTTCCATAGAAGGAATTATTCTTGTTCTGTATATGGTCTTCCCGCGAACGAATGTTAATTATGGGTCAAATTCGATATATAGCGATCATTACCTTAGAGTCAAGTCTTGGTCGCTAATAGCATTAGATCCCCGCTAGAATGCACTACTCTCTTGCTACTATTGCTTGTTTCTCTTGAGAGCCAGAGAGCGAAGCTTTTCTAGAAGGCTTGGAGTTGTGGGGTGTGGAGCACATCTAGTCCTGGAACGAAGGTCGCCAGGCTGCGAAAAGTGGAAAGTGAAAAGCCACATACGGATTCAGAAGCAAAATTTTAGTCCTGATGTGAAAAAACACTTTTGTGGATATGTTTGAGAAGCATCCTGGGAGTACGGATGCTCAATCTTTGGCAATAATGGCAACTCTTGGCGTCCAGTTTGAAAAATATACTTCGAGGTATTGATATGTGCAAATCTCTAATCAGATACGGCGTTCGAATACGAGCTTCAGAGCACTCGCATTTTGTGGAGATCCTGAAGTTGGAGCAAACCCTATCCTTGCTGAATTCTTCAAGAATGACTTTTCCCGTTCGCGGCAGCTGGACTCTTGGGGAAAGGGTCGATCGAGACTTCATATAGCCGAGGCTTTTGACTGCCTTTTCGGCAATATCCGAAAGCCCTCAGCTGTAGGAATTGCAGGAATTGTGGAAGTCATTTATTGATGAATTCCAATGCCTTGCCCTGGAATGGTTTGTTTCATAGGAGCACTGGCCCTGAACATTTCATCCAGAAATCCAATCACACGCAATGCCACGCATTTACACGAGCGCTTGGGGGAGTACTTGGATTGAAGAGCGGTTACATGAGACCACGTCTGCATCATCAGCCAGAGGAGGAAGTAGGCATACTGGAAAATAGACATGGTGGTGTCACGGTTGTTTGCAGCTTCCAGTAGCTTGTCTTTGGATGCCGAGTCAAGAGTCTGCCGCCGGAAAGAGTCACCTTTGGCCATTATATTTTGGCAATCTCATTGAAGCGTTGGTCTTGATGTAAGAAGCCGAGACCGATCTCGAGGCATCGCGACACAAAGGGGAATGAGCAGACTGGATGAAGAATATTTGAGTGGCACAAGGTTTCTCAGGATATCAAAAATCAAGGTGTTGCTAATCCCCGAATAGAAACTAGTTAGTTTAATAGTTGCCCTCGGCTTTGGTCTTCCCCGCCGCTGTACCGGATTCCTAGCCACCAAACCTTGTCATTACTTCAAGTAAGATCATCCAATGATAGGCCTGATCTCATAGATCGCATAAGTGCAGCTTATTTATTTTGCTCTCTTTAACTTATGTTTGAAATGTGCTTGTTATGTCTTGACGTTGCAAGCCTTGGTGCCTGGAAAGGATCAGGCCCTGGAGGCACTTTATTCGTCGAGTTCCGTGTGGAGAATAGCTCGTCGAGGTGAATGTCTTTTCGGGTTGATGAGGTATCATTGGCTTTTGGGGCAGCAGTTTTATTGAAGAGAAAAGAGGGCGTGATAATCATCCAACTGTCAGATTAGCCTATAGCCATTCTGGTATTTCATAGTTCTGGACAGCTCCGTGGTTAGGATATAGGATCCGACTTCGAGGGTTGACATTGCGCCAAAATTTGGGTTGGTTTGGCACTCTGCCACAGCTAACTGTCAGCGTTTCAGGAAAATGAACACATGGATAAGTTAGCCGTTTGAGGAATTTTCCTACGCACGACGAGAAAAAAAAAAAAAATTTGCTGTGCGCACCCTGATACCGAATGCTCTCACTTTCTAGCATGTGACGATGCGAATACCACATGGCGTGGAATCAAACGCTTCCGTCCGTTTATTATTCCTTTACCAACCCGCTATCATGAAAGTTGTGCAATGCGAGGTAGTTAATTGGCTCATCACTCGGTGGATTCCTACATGTCGCGTCAATATATTCTCCCCAAAGAGAGGAGAATTTCGAGTGGGGCGGAACAGGCCAGAAATCATGGCCTCAAGATTCCACTGGACCACGAGAGTCAGATCGATATATTTTTGCCTTTCCGCTGGATACGAGGGTTTCTCGACAGTCCAGGAGGGTAACATCGCCCCGAAACACAGATGGGATCGTCAAACTCTATTATTATTGTCTTGATTCTGAGCTGTTGGCCTTACGATTGGCGGCTCCAATCGGTAGTGAGTTAATGGTTTCTATGGCAAAGCAGACTGAATGCACATTTTTGCGAATAAGCTTTCTCAGGGAGTTGTCTATCTCATAACACTCGCCTGCGCCAAATCGGGATTCCTAAGGTTGTGTAGATTGTGAGATGAGTGCCTGTCATTTCCTAACCCGACGCCCAACAGGTGCTTCCCCAAGCCTGGAGTTTAGGCGAGAAATCCGGGGTAGTGCTCCTGATCCACACAACCATTTAACCCCATCTTAGCTCCTTGTGGGTTCTCTACCCTCGAAACCTATCGATCAGCCGGGGGGGATTCCTGACGTGGCCCGAAAATGTCAGCGAGATTCATCAGAAAACACTCTCAAGTAACTCTACTATTTAAGGCTGCTAATGTCTTGCTGAGCGAAGTTTAGAAGCTGATCTTTGGCGCCTTGTTCTGACACGCATGAATAAAAGCCCGCCGGTTGAAGTAACATAACGGAGTACGGAGTGCTTGAGAGGGATTTCTTGTCGAACTGGGAAAAAAAAAAAAAAAAAAAAAAAAAAAATTGTGGAGTGGTTCGCCTTGGCTTATGAAGCGGATTTACCCGATTTATCAAGGTGAAAGGCGTGATTTAAGGAATATTGAATTGCACATAGACCTTGGAAGATGGCTATGAAAACAAAATCCACCACCGCTTCGCCGTTGTTAACCCGATCTTGGCACTATAATAAAGGAGAAATCTGCCTTTTACATCACAATTGACACCCTGATGAATGGAAAATACTGACTCTCGCTTAACTCTAGGATCCATACATTAGAGATGTGGTGAGAAGCAACCCCCCCTTGTTTTCCCCTTGCCTTTCATAATCCTTGATTTCCCCACTCTTGCCGGAAATTTATCGACGGCAAGGAATCCAGGAGCAATTCATGACCCTCCAACGTCATCTACATGTGATCCGTGTATCATGCTTAACTCCCGATACCGATCCCATTATCCTGCTTGGTATGTAGATAACTTACATACTTTATAACTTATCTTGCAGTGTCATCTAGCACTTTCTGTCATCATATTCCTAGCGGTCAACCAAGTCCATCCACAGGCTTTCCCGCTTGAGTAACTGTTTATTTCGGTTACAAATATCCATTGCAACCCCACCAACATGCTTTGGAATCATCCCCAAAACATTGCATTTTTGGCATAGCATTATATCCCTCCCTTGTCCATTGGCCCTTCATTTTACCTTATCATCTTTACTGAAAGATAAAAACGCATGGATATGTTCTCCCAATCTTCCCCGCAATTGTCATCAGGGTTCCTTCGGCAAATGGATCTATTGGAGTATTATCCATATACTGTGTAGATGCCATGCGACTGCGGAGTGCTCTATCAATATCGTCCTCACTACTTTTTGGCGAACAGTAGCCCAAATTGCAATGTGGTTGGTAGATCCCATAGTACAGTACATTTTTCGATATCAACTTAAGCAATAATACATCGGCCTTTTCCAAACCACCAGTCAGAGATTTGCAGAGAGAAATCACATTTGACATTTTTGGGGTTTTCCACGATGTAGAGGCCTTATCAGAGGTATACCAGGAAGAATGAAGGAAGGGCAATTGTCTTTTGGTTCAACCAGTGCCAGGGTACCAAAGACTGCAGTTGGAAGAGACTCTGCTGTTGCAGGAGAGAAACACGGTCTAGAGAAATCCCTGGGGGATTCCAGCATAAGGGAATCGTCGGTCAGAAACGGAAACCGTGGGGTAAATGCAGATGGACTCGATAATTGTGGGGCGGCAATCTCCTCCCGGCACGCAGGTGATTTAAGATCAAACAGAGAGAGATGATCTATAACTGCAGCTAATGCCCATCCGAAGTGCGAATTGGGTTTCTAAAGGAGGTGCTGCGAGTGGCAATCAAAATCTTAGCAGAGATAAGAGTGTTCGATAACATCCATTAGCAACAGTCTGCTGTCGGAACGACTCTCCCTTGAGCCATTTCTCATGGATCCCTACATAGAGCAGGCTGACGTATACGACATGAGAGCACCCTGTCGCAATACGCTCTGGAATAAGGGGAGTTGTTGCATAGGTTCAGCTTTATGGCCAAAAAGGTGTTTAGGGCCAGGATGAGAATAAGAGCCTCGCACACAACAGCCATGGAACTCAGCGAGAGGTGACTATTCTCCAAATCCTCTATCCAACTCAACACAACTATCAGACTCAAATTCCAATGAGCCTTCCCCGATGAACCACTTGATATCCGGAACTCCCACATCAACCAACATAATCTGAAGTTAACAGGTCGGTTGCCAGAGCGGGCCCCTCAACGCACCACTGTTGGACCGTAGTGAGGCTTCACCGAATTATATGTTGGTAGCAATACAGCTCCTTTGCTGACTTCTCCCAAAAGGCATATTAGGGAGCCAATCGAATGGAAGCAGAATGAGGGTGTGACACTTCATTCAATCAGTGAAGATGGCATATCTGAATACTTCATTTATAATCACATCTGATCACACTGCCATCATATCTGCCATACAACACATAAGGCTCAGGGGACATATCACACATATCATCAGATGAGCTCAAACTGGGTGTCTGCCTTTCTGCTCCCAGGAATGATACGAGAGTTCGTCCGCTCCTTGATTGACCCATACGTCTACATGGAACTGAAGATACATCCTAGTTAACATTCTATGTCCCTCTTCGACACCACCACAGAATTGTCTTTCCGAAAGATGTTTCCATTCCAGCAACCACCAACCGGGTTGCTCACAGTCACAACCCGAAAAGGAGAAAGAGACGGGTCGGACGAAGCAGAATCCTGATGTTCTGTCTCGGAAACAAAGTTCTTCGTGTATGCCCCAAGTGCTTTCTTTCTCACCGTATTTGCGCGGGAAAGTTGTGTTGTCGGCATATCTCCCAATATATCTATGTCATAGCACTACTATACCGATACCATTGCAAGTGGACCAGCACTCCTGTGTAATTTTGAGTCATACGTTAATGAATGCTGTCAATTTGGTTAGCAAGTGATGTTTCGAAGTTGTGAAGAGTGTGAACCTTTATCGGTGTGTTAGTGATAAGCTCCCCCTTTACAGTCTGCCAAAATCTGATAACAAACTCGCACTCCTTTCTTATTTCCAAAAGTTCTTCATTGGCTCTGTTCCATCATCACTACCAAAGAAGAGTATGATGGATCAAGTTGGTTGGAAGAGTTTAGCATTTAATCGGAGGCCTGTCTCTTTCATTATCTGCATTTTTGTCATTGCTACTCTTTCCAGCGCTTTACACCCACTTGGGGATTATCATCTGGCTGGCTTTTTCAGCGAAGGACTGAAAATGAGCGTTTGTGTAAGAGGGACCCGTAGTTCCCATATGCTGTGTACCTTGATTGTATGGGGGTGTCCGATCCAACCTATGCAGGCACTTCAGCCTAGTTGCAGCTTACAAGACAGAAAAAAACCCCAATAAAAGCAATTGGAAATTTTAAGCAAGAGAAGACATTTTCAGCACATTTGTGGTGTCAGAGATATCGTAAAGCCGCATTGAGAGGGTACGATTGTTACTAGCTGACGTCAAATCTAACTATGGCGCTGACGTAAACCTTAAGTTGTGGAGTAGTTAACTAGTTAGTTAACTAGTAATGTCCTTCGGTTCTATGGTTCCAAGAAAAGCTTAATATTGTTGATTTCTTGACCGGTTTTGACAACGGAACTTAGCTGTCTGCAGGTAGCAGCGTGGATCAGTTTTACTCCAGATTAAATAAGGCTCTCCTAAATTCCAGGTTGGACTACCGCTCTTATTGAGCTTTTGGCTCTCGCTCTTTGTAGCCAAATCCTCCTTGAAAATAAGGGATACTGCTGCTTTTTGGGGTTCAGCTTGAACACGGTCTGAAGTTCATATTTCAGAGAACCAGGTACGAAGCAGCACATATAGCCTTTCTCTCTTCTCCTAGGCGTGTCCCCTGCTCAGACAATCCCTTATCAAACATTGTGTTCTACTAAACATACCAGAGGCAACTTAAATTATATATTGGGGTGGGCGAAGTTGGGTCGGAACATGTATAGCCACGCAACTCACTCTTTGTATTGTTCCCGCTGTGAGCTGACAAACCCAAGCAACGCCTTGTGAACCCGCAGCGGGGCATTTCATACTCCGGAAGATGAAGCAGACAAAGCGGACCAAATCTTTGAAAACGGAGGTAGTGTCCCTCTCCCAGAGGGTTTCGTAGCACCAAGATCTTAAATTCACATCAACACCCGTAATGTTAGGGGTTAAACTGCGGCAAAAGAGTGGTCCGTAGATATATGAATTTTTTTTTTTTTTTTTTTTTTTCATTTTTAAAAAAGGATAGATCTTAGCAGCTTTCAATAAACGTAGAGACGTGGCAGCTCCTCAAAGTTATCTTCGTTCGACAAATGATAAGAAGCGGGTGAATATTGAATGTGTAAACAGGTTTTAAAAGAAAGAATCGATTAGCGGACTTAAGTCCAAAGCTCAGATAGGAAGCACGGCCTTGATCTCGAGGCTTCGGGAATATCACCAGGCTATGAGTGGCCCTGCTGATTCTGCAATAGGCCGCAGAGGCCCCTAGTATGCTCTTTACCGTGTCCCGGAGCGGCCCCTTCCCATCACCGCTAGATCTTGAGAGAGTTGTGCCTTCCATTCTAGAAGACGCTAAACTCAGATTCGCTGAGCCATTCCATGCAGAACAAACATGGCGTCATTTTTGAATCCCCACAGAGCGTATTTTCCTGCTGAGGTCTTTTAATGTTGGAGCCAGTTCTCCATGCAAAAGGAGATGCGTCGACCTTCTGTCCCTCATGTTGCTTCTCCTCACCTCCTCCTATCTCATTTCATCGTGATGAAACCAATTCCACTCTGATAATTTTCAAATAATATCCCTTATTCTTTACATCTGCGGATGTAGTAAAGCCCGATATCAGATCCTTGATACTTAACAAGCATATACTTTTCCATATTTGTTCGACAGTGTGAGCGCCTAGCCAACCTTTGCTTGCATCCTTTCCGCCCTGATTCTCGTGAAAAGCTTCCCCCTTGGATAAACCAGGAATAACAGCAGCGATGGGAAACCAAAGCAACTCGAAAGGGAAGGCAGTGATGTACAACACAACGCCACCATGTAGCCCTCCCATCTTTTCCGAGAATAGCGGAGGTAGCGCCCCCAACGGCTCAGACCCCAGCATGAACACGCTTCAGGGTTCAGCTCCGCCTTCCTTCCGAGGCCCCGATGGTCGCAATCTCCTCAACACCATTCTCGCCTTCAGTTCTAGAACAAACCGGAGCGCCACACCTCTCCAGAACGGGACACCTCTCCGGAACGGGGAGCTTGACGAATGGGACTTTCACCCCGACGAACCCGACTCCGATCGCATCTTAACACCTTTTCGGATCGTGCTGGGAGACATCAGAGTTCGCCTCGAGCGCGGAGAAACGAATTTGACGTTGAGTGGATATATCCTAGAAGATATTATATTTGACCTCAAGTCTTCGGATAGGGAGTCGCCATCTGTTCGCGCAATGATACACGATTTCGAAAATCACCTGATGGAGAATGGTATCGGTTTACACTCCAATGTCACTACACCGGTGGAATGCCCGATTGACCCCGGCAATGGGGAAATGCCCTCGCCACATCCGCATTTGGCATTGCACAATTTCACGAGTAGGCCGACCGACTATGAAACGGGAGGGCCTTCTAATTATTGGTTGCCAAATGTTCCAAATAACACCGCAGATACGCCAAGGGATCTTCCCCATCCTCCCCACATAATGAATGAGTTCGAAGTTCACCAGCCCGCGGGCAGTGAAACATATGAGGGGCCAGCATATGGATCCCGTAGAACCCTTAACGAACATTCTCTGATGTACCAGCCAAGGACCGTGGCTCCAGAGCTATCAAGAGTAGTCATAGATGAAACGCTCGAATATTGGGAAGAATTCGAATACATCGAACAACCAGTGAGCTGGGAAGATCCTGAACCAGAGTTTTGGTGAGTTTGGTCCTCATTATTGCAAAATGCTGTTATCTGGTATAGGTTGCTGATATTGATTCTTTTCTCATGTTATAGACGGAATCGAGTTACAACCTCCAACACCATCAAGGTGCGGAAGAATTCTGCCAGTCCCTCAAGACGTTCAATTCCAATAGGCAAAACCCAATCTCTTCGATGCCCCTATGTTGTACTCTCAAATGTTACCAATGTTTCTGTTGCAATGGGGGTTGTCATATGTTTCTTTTTCCTATTTTGTTTTGTTTTTGTTATTTTTGGCCTAAATTCGGACACCGTATTGCTAGCGGAACACAAAATTTGTAAGTATGCCCCGATTCATCTCAGGAAACTAAAACAATTAGATTGAAAGCGCTGTTATAAACCACTAGATCCGCTGGCACCAGGAGGAACACGACACCATTGGACAATACTGAGGAATATGAGAAAGGATAAAATACCTCGCGCCACCAGTCTGGATCCGTATACGGGCACAGAAACTCGCGTCGCATACCACTTCTTGGTGGATTCCCTCACTAATCTTGAATGGACCCTTGGAAGAGCTGAGAATCCGGATTGTCATGACAAAATTCGAGAACGCGGGTGCTGGAGATCCTTTAAACGACCACGAATCATAAGTTTGAAAAACATGGAGACAGGAAGTTGCCTTACTATTTTCCAATGATTTAATTTCATGATGTGTTTATTCGGGAATTTTGTTGTTTCCTTTTTGATTTGGAGGAGCTGATTTTGAATTTTGAATATGGGAACGAAATGTATACCCCGTTGCAGTTAAAATTGTTAGGACATCTGTTTTTGGAAAGTGCCTGTATACACTTAGTGTCTAATAATCTGGAAATCCCAAGTGTTTCGCGTACTTGTATTCGACTTGAAGGCCGAAGATAAAAGAAATTTCAGTCATTTGAATGACGGTTTTGAAGTGACGTCTGGAGAGGCGATTAGTCAGACGCGCCATACCTGACCTGTTCGGTTTTATCTCGGTCTTCCTGCCTATATCGGCCCCATGCTCTTGGACAGCTTTGCGACTTAAAACTGATCAGTGGTTATTGTAGAGAGTTACTCAACGCCCACACTTAACCCAACTGGATTTATATTATAAGCGAATCGCATAACAACAATGGATCCATTCTCGACTGAAGGAGGTGAATCAGTTCCAATCCCATCCCCATTTTCGTTCGACATGGCGAACACTGACACCTTGAACCCTCCAGAGCTCCTGAACATCCACAACGCCTTTCACCAGGGCCAATATCAAGTGGTCATCGACTTTGATTCTTCCACCTTCTCTCCTGAAAACACTCTCACCGCTCGCGTTCTCAAGCTCCGTGCAAAAATTGCCCTTGGACAAACAGACGATGTCCTTGCGGAGGTGGAAGGGGAGGAAGATGTCCCTGATCTAGCCGCTGTCAAGGTGCTGGCACTACAGACAGCGGGAGACGAAGCAGTCGCACTTAAGGGCGCGGAGGAGCTGGTAGCAAAGAATTCAGAAAATGCCACTACTCAGGTTCTTATAGGGACGGTGCTACAAGCACAAGGGAAAAGCGAGGAGGCATTGTCGCTGTTGTCGAAACATCAGGGAAATCTTGAAGCGTGAGTGGACTGCATAGCTGCCTTTCATGGCTATGACTATACGATACCTTTGTTATTGCAGAAGAGTGTGCTCCTGCCTGTCTGAATAACCATGCTAATTCCAACGTCTTTAACTTTCAGCGTCGCCCTAACTGTCCAAATCCACCTCCAACAAAACCGCACTGATCTCGCCCTGAAGGAAATCCAGGCTGCACGACGATGGGCTCAAGATTCATTACTTGTCAACTTGGCTGAGTCATGGATAGGCCTGAGAGTGGTATGTTCAATTTCCGCGGAACCTCGAACCGTCCAAACAGTCCTGCTAACCAACCATACAACAACCACAGGGTGGTGAGAAATACCAATCCGCATTCTATGTTTATGAAGAACTTGCCTCCAATCCCAATACTTCGTCTCCCATCTCAATTGTTGGCCAAGCCGTTTCAGAACTACACCTAGGCCGTTTACCCGAGGCTGAAGTCGCCCTTCAATCGGCTCTGGAAAGATACCCCAATGATGTTCAGACGATCGCGAATTTGATTGTCCTGAATGTATTGAGTGGAAAGGACGCGACTGAGCTCACCTCGTAAGTGCTCTCGCACGTTTTTGAGCTTGTGTTGAATCCAGATAAAACATGACAGAATTCTATGAAACTTAAGCTAACTAAACTTGATTTACTCCAATTGTTTTTGCAGATCCCTTCAAAAGGTACAACCAGACCATCCATTCCTTACCAATCTAGCTGAGAAGAGCGCATTTTTCGATGCCGGCGCGTCAAAATATGCCGCAAAGGTGTCATCATAGCCCATCTTCGTTAACCCCTTCATTTTTCTTCAATATCCCTGCCCTTTCAATTTCTGCACTGCCACTGTCAAAGAGGTAATGCACTGCCAGTTGGTTAGACCTTTATCCCAGAGTTTTATTTCTATATTTCTGTTTAATTTATGTAGTTAGCCATGTCCATGCCGTTCAAAAATAGACGAACAAACGCACCTTCAAACTAGCAAACGATGATGCTGGTCTTTCAGCTCGTGTGAGCATGGCCATTTTCGTCGCACTGTGACGGAAGTAAAGTTGTGCGTTATTTTAGCTACTTGCCAAAGTTTCGCTCAACGTCTGTATCAGATACACCATCTTTTTATTACCTTCAAAGCACATGGTATTTGAACCATTGAATCTGCCCACACCCGTAGTAATGGAACGTCGAAGATGAACGGAGAAGGATTTAGGAAACGTCAATAGGATTGCAAACAATTATTGTATACATGCAGCATCTGCGTCACATACACATAGCGAAACAGGATTCAAATTCAAGAAAACCACGATAATGCCCCACATATTAAAACTTCGTTATTATTTAGCTGTATCCGCGAACATGATTAGAACTTCCATCACCTCTTTATAATGACCCTCTCAAAGTCTCGACGAGAAAAACGAGAAGTATGCCTTTCCCTGTTCTGTTTCGGTTTGATCACCTAACATCAAAGCTACGATGGGTGCATCATGACATTCATCCTTGCCCACAAAAAACGTCGTGTCAGGGAATCCAGACTAAAATCAGATAGTAGAAAATTGGATATTAGACTTTCAGACAGAAAATAAATCGTATGGGGGTATAAAACAAGACAATGCCTCTTACAAAATACGCAAGGGTATCTCTAAAAGTCAAAGAAAAGAGAGGAAGAGGACGAAAACAAACCTTTAACTTCTCGGCGAACTCCTCGACAGGGGAACGGAACAAATCATCCGAACCAGTCAAAATCAACATATCCCTGACCTTAAGGTCCTTCCACCAATCCGCCGGCGCTCGAAGCGGTTCCAGGTAATTATCCGACTCCGACCCAGCAATGTAATAAGACGACCATCTCTCCAGCGCCGAGATCGCAAGGATATCCTTATTCTGATTCTCCTTGACAGAGGCATAATTCAAAGAAAACGAGACCCACGGCGAAATCGGCACAGCGCCAGCCAGCGGCTCCGAAAGCTCCAGCGGTTCAATCGCCTTGTGTGGGTGGGAGAGATGGGAAAGGATGCCTAGGGTAAGATTGCCGCCAGCTGAGTCGCCAGCGATAAAGACATTTTCAGGGCTACGACCGGTCTTTTCGACTATGTAGCGGAGTGCACCAACAGCTTGTCGTAGTTGGGTGGGATAGACAGCGTGCGGGGTCAGGGTGTATGTGACGAAGAAGATGGCGATGTCTTTTCCCGCTGCAGTCAGTTTGTCCAGGATGTTGGATTGGAACTGGAAAAATCCGGGATTTGCGGGAGATGCAAAACCGCCTCCTATATGTGTAAGAAAAGTGGATGTGATTAGTATCCGATTTTGTAGTAATCGAGGAGGAGCGAGCTCTCTGAGGTCTGAGGGGGTAGGTATACCATGGTAGTAAACCAGTACATTCTTTGCATCTTTATTGCCGATCCAATGGCCCTCCGCCTCATGGTCAAGAGCAACAGTTTGCGGCGTGAACCCTTTCGCCTTAGCAAAGTTTTCGTACGCTTGATTTGTCGCAGGGTTAAGTGCTCTTTTCCATGCCGCAATGTGTCAATTGAAAATCGCTTACGATAAATTCGGGAGGGATACCCGTTAAATTGTGTTTACGGGTTCGCTTGTATAAAAGCTCGATGTCACTTACTGACTCTGCCGTGTTGAGAACCGGCTAATCGCCCTCCGTATAACAGCGTGGTTGATATGCTTGCGGTAATACCTGTGGCCGCTCTGACCACGAACTAGGCCAGTAATCGCTGCATAGATTGCACTGGCGATCAGGGAGAGGTTTGCTGGGACCAGGTCCAGTTTCTCAAGGACACTGAGTTTGGGAGGGAAACTAGTAGGAGCCATGATTTGAGCTTCTAATCCAAGAGTATGAATTTGGTTTAATCGAGTTAACTACCACTGATTTCTCTTGATACCGTTCACTTTTTCAAGCTTCCAAGGTTGTGCAACTAGACACAAAATCCAAGCAGAGAACCAGTATTGAAAACACGTGAAAAATCGAGCTGCTGAAATCCGTATTCGAGTTCCAGAAACTATCAATTTGTAGCTTATCGAAACATGGACAAAATAACCCAGATTGCAAACAATAAAAATTGAGAGATGAACAAAAGGATGCAAGCAGAAGAGAATATTCGTCTCTATATTTGAGAGCGCAAGGATGCATGCCATTCTTGTTTTCGGGTATCTAGATATTCGTTGACCGAGCGCTAGCTTGACTTGACAGCATAGTCTCTGGTGTTGTAGCGAGGTAGACAAACCCCCTCTTGCTTGGCAGATGGGGTATTTGACAGCAGCAATCGCTGTATAGCATCAATTTCCCACATTGCTACCGGTCTTCCTCGGTTTATCTCTTTAGACGTCTTTTAGACGTCAGAGCTAGTCGGAGTCCACCAAGTAGCGTCGCGAGCCATCCAAAGTCAAATGAAGTTTTAAGAGCTAGTCCTGTTTGAACGGATCACGTATCGAAGCAATCAAGGGCAGAGCTTCATTGGTCGAGTATTTTAGGGTAGTGTGTAGCATCACCCTAACATGACAACAAATTCATGGATTCTTCCTCAAACGCAAACATTGAAATAAAATGAGGGAATATCAAAAAATAATAATAAATAAATAAAAATAAAAATAAAAAATAGAAAAAAAGAAAGAAAAAAAGAAAGAGAAAGAGAAAGAAAGAAAATTAAAGAAAGAAACACTCCAAAAATTGTCCCTCCGGCCTTACAGATGTCCATTGATTACATCTTCAGAACGGTCCAGTTCACAAAATGCTCTGAAAGTAGTGAAGGGCACTTCATTATCCTCCGGTGCAGTGCTCTCAATCACGCATTCAGCTCTAGCCCCAACAAAAAACACATAGCCCGCCTTGGCCTCTTCAGTCTTTCCTGGCCCTACACTTATGTTCCCTTGGCCGCTCGTACAAATGAAGATACTGGGACCATTGATCGGGTCAAATGTAGCCTTAGCACCACGACGTCTCAAATCCGTCTTGACAACAGCAAACTCTTCAATTGGTGGATCATATAGCAAGGAGGATGAGCCGCTCAAGTACGCGATTGAATTCAACGTCGCGTAGGGGTAATCTGTTGGCTCCATTTTTTGCTCTTGGATGGGTGCATAATTGTATGTGAGCATATCGGTCAGCGTGGAGACGTCTTTGAACTTGGGAGTAAAGCCGGCTCGAACAACGTTGTCAGAGGAGGCCATGCACTCGATAATATCGCCGGAAATGTATGCGTGGATATCATCTGCCTTAAGAAACATGGCTTCGCCTGGAGACAGTTTAACGAAGTTGAGGAAAAAAAAGACGAATAGTCCGATATCGTTGGGGAACTGCTCATTTAGGCGGATGGCTACTGCTGCTATCTCCTCTGGGTTGGAAGGATTGGTTGAGGGGTTGGATTCCGACATGGCGAATGTGCTTGGGGAGGCTTTGGCAGTAGATATTAGTTTCTCCGCAGCCGAAGAAATCGCCTCTGGGGTAGAGGTCATCAACTTGGTAAATAAAGTTTTTAGAGCCGCTTTGTTCTTCTCTGTGGAGGCAGGATCCTCAGGCTGCTCTTGACCACTAACCACCTTCTCAAAGGCTTCCGTAGCCTCTGATCCAACAAGCTCTCTGAGTGGTTCTAGGACACGCAGGAAGTGAACAATTTCAACCAAAGGACGGAAGCCACACAAGCCCTCGAAAGGGGTGATAGCAATAGTCATTTCCGGTTTGTGATTATCATCTGATAGGGAACATTAATCGATATTATCGGCAGTAACTTTCATTTTCCCCATCGAGCGACTAACCTGGATAGTTGCGCGGATCCCTCAAGTGAAGAACAGCTGCCAGATGTTTGTTTGGGTGTGCTTGGATTGAAAGAGCTTTCTGAATGGAAAGGACTTTGAACAGGAATGGTAATTTCCCTCCATACCGGGTCATAATTTCTTGTGACATCAGTTCTGGGTTATTCTGCACCAGGTCGAGCAAAGTCCTTTTGGTTTGAAGGTCTTTGGACGGGAGAGAATGGTGAGTGCCCATCCATAGCTAACATGAGCCAAACAGTTAGTTAGTATGAAACCAGCAATTGTGAGTGATCGAAGAAGAAGGAAATATACCTCTGCGTATGGTTTGTCATTTTGAATAGAAAAGTCGGTTGAAGGGGTTGCAGCCGCGTATCTTGCCGCAGCAGATTCTTCACCGATCTTTCCTGGTCGAAATCAGCATCATGTTTGACGGAGAGGTAGAGTTAAGTGCCAATGGAGGTAAAAATGGCGAACACACCCCAATCGTAGCTATTTACGTCTATTTAACAAAGAACTACATCAGTAACCGACAACGGTTCGGGATAGCAAGCCAACATCAAACTCACCGCATTGCAGCCGGAAGATGGGCACTTGCATCGTGAAGAGTCAAAAGGAGAGAGTCAAGTCGCAGTTGCTGTGGAGAAGAGATTGTGTAATGAGTCAATCACAACTCGAATACTTTATAACAATGTCTTCTTCTCTTCTTCTTCTTCTTCTTCTTTCTCTCCTCTGTGTTTTGAACCAACTCTCGTTCCCATCAAAACACCATAAGCAGCGTCAAGGCCAACTCTCAACTTGTTGATCCAACCAAACCTTGGCACGCGCAGGACCATCACGTGCCATTGACTAGTAGCTCATCCGTTCCCAGTTCTGGATCCCGTGATCCCTGTACCTAATTCGGTGCAAACCTTGGCCATGTCCAATCAAACAAACCAGCCAGTCCCGGACGGTCCAACCCCAGCCACGAGTTCCATGGTTCGTCTCGTCTCGACGGTCTCGTTGGCTGCGGGAGACGATCTACCTACCGCGCCACAGCAACGGCCGATATCAGTTTCCCCATCAACTATCTCATCGTTGAATCCAATCACAAATTTGCTCCAGATAGCTGCCCCAGAGTGCGGGGTATCAGATTGTGAGGCGAGTGGGCTTAGCCAACGTCAGAGTAGTAGTGGTGTTGCTAGCAGCACAGTTTCATCACCCAGAGCACTATATCCTGCTACAAGATACCTCAAAGCGCCATATCTCCCGCCAGCTTTGAACACCCGCAGGCAAGCAAGGGAGAGCTTCGAATTTCAATTGCTGGCCGGCTCAGAGTGGGAAGCTGTAGATATTGCCAGCTCAAGAAAGGCTGGAGAAGAAAGAGCTCTGGCAAAGCGTGAGGAAGCTCAAAAGGCTAAACAAGGAAGAGCCCAGGCTGCAAGACATTCCCTGACGAACTTTGAACGTGGAGGGGCCATCATGTCCCGGAACAGACCCAGGGGCCCCTCCGCCAGGGACAATGGGGCGGCTGCAAATGAAGAAATTGAAATGTGGAATCGGATCCGTCAAGATATATTCAAAGCTGCCGAGCGGAATGAGAAGCAGAAATCCCCTGGTTTTGCATTGGCTGCGTTGAGGGAGAAAATCGCAAAGACCGGCAGAAGTGAGTGCATGTTTTACTTTTCCCTTTTATTACGTTCCATTTGGATTGAGTACTCCGTTGGGATTCTGTCGTTGGAAAGTTTGTTATGCGTGATCAAGTCACCTCTAAAACTTCCCTTATCGTTCGTGATGTCTTTTTGATTCATTCTCTACATTCTTCCTTCAATTTCCCTTGGACATTTTGTCTTAGCCTCTGAAAATATCATCATGTGTGGTAAACTTCCATCTTTCTTAGTTTTACCCCAAGACAAGCATTTCTTGAATTGTTCTTGGTCAACTAAAATGGATATACTGTTGTGATATATTTCATGAACGAGTATCAAACATGCTTCTTTTCTGGGTACATACCCTTGACCTGAGGGAGTCTATTCATTGAGATCTGGGTCTCGCATTACTTCCTGGCCCATATTTTCCCAACTCCTCTCCGCTCCCCTCCGTTCTCTTGTTATACCTCAATCATCACTGAATGTTTGAACTTCACGTCTTTACTATATTTTACATTCATATCTTTGCATTTCGCCAATTCTCAGGCCTTTCAATGAATTGACATCCAAACGTCGAAGCCCAACTAGTTTCCAAACTGCAAGGTTTGCTGCTAACAACACGAATTTCAGAAGCAACGCCAAGTGAGCTGGAGCAGATGGAAAACTTCCATCGTATAATAAACAAGCACAGTGATGAGGAGCGTGCTATTCTACTGGATGAACCAGCGGACGTAATCAAAAACCTGGAAATACTCATCGCTTTGCGCTCTGCGTCTGAAGCTGACCCCCAAACTCGTGCCTCGGCCACCGGAAAACCGCGGAAAAGAAAGAGCGAAGCTGATGCTTCAGCTGCAGATTCTCCCGCTCCAGCAGCAGCTGGGGTTTCTGATAAACTAAATCGACTCAAAAGTGGCACACATAGAAGCACCAGTGTCTCCAGCAGTCAAGCCCGTGAAGCTATTTCTGTCAAGAGCGAAGATGGGGTTGAAGGCACGAAAGGAACAGCAGCAGAAAAAAGTGGACAGCTCTTTGTTGGCGCGGAAGTTGTTTTCAAACACAACAAGAAGCAACAGGGTGTAGAAGGCGAAGGTATTCAGTGCATTATCAAAAGCATTGCTGGGGAGGGCCATAAAAAGCGGTAAGCTCAAACGACAGCTTCTCAACGCATGGATTTTAATTTTAAACATTGACACCCGTTCCAGGTATGATGTTCAAGATCCTGAGCCCAACGAAAACGGAGAAGAGGGTGCGGTCTACAAAACCACTGCCGCTTCATTGATCCCGATTCCCCAGGTCGGCGCCTCGCTTCCATTTTTCTCTGTGGGGAAACAAGTCCTCGCTAGATATCCAGATACAACTACATTTTACCGCGCGGAGGTTATGGGCTCTAAGAAGGATGTGTATAGGTTGAAGTTCGAGGGGGAGGAAGATGATAAGGAGATGGATGTTGACCGCCGTTTTGTACTCGACATTCCCGGAAAGTAAGAGTGACGCTGGCGTTACTGCTCTATCCTTTTTTGTCACTTGGAGATTGGCCCATTGCATATCTCTATATATGCACAGCAACTACCCCATTTTTTTTTTCGTTTGTGGATATTTGGTTTAGAGTTTTCCAAGTCGTCCGAGGCTCAGTTTACGATTGGAGAAATGGACAGGTGTTTGGTTGGCTTACTTTCCACACTTTGATAATTGGCATAGGCGTGCCGGAATCTGTTTTGAGTGTTTTGGTTTTCTGAAATCTGTACTATGGCCAACTGGCAAGATCATTTTACCTTGGAGATACGGTATGTTCTTGGACCGTGGAGTTCTGAGGGTTGGTTACTATACATAGGAATAAAAAGTGACCTCTTTGATAGCAGCAAATTTGAACACTAGCTTCATGCTTTTGGTTCTTATAGTATCCCCAGGGTTCTCAACCACTGTCTTCTCCGCTGCACTTGCACAAATGATATCGTCTCCGGCCATCCCAGCACCAGTTTGTTTCAGCGTGGGGTAAATGCCGAGCGGAGCGACACAACGCCCCCAAGCTGACTCAGCCGAACCGAGGGTTCTCTGTGTGTAGTTGAATACAAATATGAACTAAAGAACTAAAATCCGAATCGGATGTATCCTTACTCCCGTCCAACAACATCAAAAATTGATGTAAAGCGTTCGGTGCTCCTGTTTTTATACTGGACACAATCAATGCTATAACTGTTCTCTCCTTCCCTCCCCCTTCTTGAATGCTGCTCTCAAATATGCAAGAATTCCCCTCTCACACCTCTCCCTTCCTTTGGCCACAACCCCTCCACCCGAAGCGACCAGCCATCAGCGAATTTTCGCTCACCGAAAGCCACAATGATACCCAAACACCCTCTTCCATATCACAAATCCGCGAACAATGCCCCAGCGGTAGTAATCTCCATAACCACCGCACCCACAGCCATTTAAGTGATGACAGTCAAGCGCAAACAACCAATTTTCCCGCCTCCATCATCTCGCCCTCCTTCACCCCTCCCACCACACCACACAGTCTCACGAATGCGTATCTATCCACCCAAACGTCTTCGTTGACGACAGAATTAAGAGGCCGCTTGATAAATGCCAACCCTCCTAAGTTACTTTCGCGGCTTCCCAATGTCGAGTGTGTCGTGCGAGCGCGCATCCCCACAACGACGGGCGCGGAAATGTTCCTCCATCTCTACCACAATGATGCGGATGATAAGGAGCATTTGGCTATTGTGTTTGGTAACTCGATTCGAAGTCGAAGCTTGGATCGTGTGAGGCCTGGGGAGACAGAGATGGATCGCATGATTCGCGGGGCGTATGTAGGGAGATTATGGCCCGGGAGACAGAATAGTTGGTTCGATGGGGCTCCTTCTGACGGGAAAAGAGTGGAGGAAACCCAGGGGGGTTCTCACGAGGGCTCTTTGAATGGTACGAATGCTGGGAAGACAGTGGGAGATTGGGTGTTGCAGAGCAAACAAACTGCAGAGTCGAGAGAGCGGATGCAATCGCAGCTACCAGGACAATCCCCTCTCGTGAGAATACATTCGGAATGTTATACTGGTGAAACGGCATGGTCAGCAAGGTGCGATTGTGGAGAACAATTAGATGAGGCAGCAAGATTAATGTCCGAGGCCGCGGCTTCCCATGAGCAGCACCCCGGCGGTGTGATTATTTACCTACGTCAAGAGGGACGTGGAATTGGCCTAGGCGAAAAGCTGAAGGCATACAATTTGCAAGATCTGGGGAATGATACAGTCGAGGCCAATCTTATACTTCGACATCCCGCAGATGCTCGCAGTTATGGTCTGGCAACTGCCATGCTCGTAGATCTAGGGCTTGGTGCGAACTCTGCGCAAAATGGAGGGATACGGCTGTTGACAAATAATCCTGATAAAGTCATGGCTGTCGAAGGTCCTAATCGGGAGGTTATTGTGAAGGAGAGGGTTCCCATGATCCCGCTGGCATGGCGGACTGGGGGGCGGAAGGGGATCCGGAGTACAGAGATTGAGGAATATCTAAGGACTAAGGTCAGTTTTTACAAGTTTGTCGCTTGTTTTGTACCCTTTTATTTTTATACGTTGTTGCGTGTACTACTATTTACCACTTTTATTCTTCCTTTCTTCCCTTCCGTAGCTAACACTTCAGCTTCATATAGATCGGGAGAATGGGACATATGATCGAATAACCCATCACATCCCAGTCTTTCCAACAAAATGATTTGTTGTCGAGCAATTATTTTCATATCCAGGACTCATGATCTTCATATCGCAAGCTGCATATCCATTTTTCATGAAGATAAATACAATTCATAGACATCGATCCCCTTACATCTGCGGCTCTTGTTACTTATTTATCTCGTTGGATTCCGCCATCCCTTGCATTGCTCGAACATTCATAAACTCATTTTGTTTGTACATATACACTTTAATTTGTACAGCATCCACACTTCGTAAACGCTCAAATGAGGAACGGCGGTTATCTTCTCGTTGACATGTGTACAGTATGGCTTTTCTATTGCTATATCATTCATGCTTTCATTTCAACCTAATACGGTGCATGGGAACATAACATTTTTACCAGACTATCCGCTCCGCCAAAAAAAAAAAAAAAACTTCTTCAATATCAAAGATAAAAAATCATGGGTATACATCAATCTTGCTCCCTCCTTTCAAATTCCTAGCTTCCAGGATTTTCTCCGCCAGCAACATTCAAACCTTCCTCCCCCTTGCAAAGAACAGCTTATTTACCCCATTCGGCACATTCGGCAACTCCACCGTCCAGTCCGTGACCAATACGTCTACATCTGTCAACCCAGCACGGACAAACATATCCTTGACTTGCTGACGGGAGAACTTGGTGTGTTTGTGGGAAATGGTATGTGCGGCTTGTCTGAGGTGGTCTGAAGCTGCACCCCAATGGTTATGGCCACGGCCTTGATAGTGACCACCCTCCTGATGGCGATGATGCTGGTAATGGTGGTGGTGTTGATAGTGATGCCCTTTGCAACCGCACCCTTTCTTCCCTTCTGACTCCGACCCAGGCTCCGGCTCCGGCTCCACCCGATCAATCGCCAAAAACGTACCGCCGCTCTTCAATCTCTCCACCAACTTTACAATGATACTCTCAGAATCTTCCATGTGGTGAAGCGCAAGGGCGATTCCCACGAAGTCAAAATTGAAGAATTCTTCTTGGGATAGGTCAGTGCCTACGACTGCGGTTGCGGCTGCATCACCTGCTTTAGTCGGCGTTGGTGCTAATATGTCTCCGCGCACGCCGTACATTTTCTCCGGCCCCAGACCCAACTCAATGGCAGCTTCATTGTACTTTTTGATCATCCCAGACGCAACGTCGATGCCAACACATTTGATGAAGAAGGGATGGTAGACCTTTGTAAAAGTTAGCGTTGCTTCTCATATGTTATTTTGTATCGTGTATCCATAGACATGTATATGTGTATGACTGTATGAGAGAAATGATTGCCGGGAATGGATTCAGCGGTATTGCAGGATTGAAAATGAACGTACCCTCGTCAGAAATCCATTACCACAAGCAAAGTCAAGCATTTTCTTCCCGCCAGCCTCACTTCCACTTCTAGCAGCAGGTCCAGATCCACCGTCATGAGCAATACCCAACCATTCGATGTTATTCTTGAGAAACTCTTGCATCTTGTTTTGGAGATCTTTCGTCCATTGTTCGTTGAACGCGATTTCGGCAAAGTTGCTGGGTAAGGAGGTTAATTTTGATACAGTTGCCTCAATATCCAGGGTAAGAAGCGACTTTACCTCCAGAATTCCTCGCTGGCAGCTGCCGACATTCCCGAAGCAGCGACTGCGGTAGGGATTGCTGGACTGGACGACGACATGATCGGGCAGATCTCTTCTTGAAAGGTCAGGATTGGTGTGAAGAAAGGTATTTGCTGAAATGGGTGGAGAAAATTTGGATTTGGTGCTGATGGGAAGTTAAATTTTGGCGAATAAAGATTATCGAAACAGGAGTTTTGTATCATGAAAACCCTTTTTGTCTTGCTTAATATTTGCGAGGAAATCTTCTGCATTTCTTATCCTGATGGAATAGAGAAGGAGGAAAAGGGGAGATCTGTAAAGAGATGACGAGACAGCATTTATATATTTTCAGACTGGGCCATCAAATCCACCCATTAATCATAACTTGTCGGCTTTGCCGATATGTTTCCTCTTGATTCCTCATCTTACGTTCCATCCCCATAAAAAATTTTTTTTGCCAGGTCCCCCATGTCGTACCAAAATCATTCTCTGCTCAGTTGGAGACGTTGAAACTTGACACAAGGTAAATATCGTATGTATGCGATCGTCCTTTTCCGGTTCTTAGCTGGCTTAGCTCCAGCCAAGGTTTGTCGCTCGGAGACTTTTTCTTTCGCGCGTGCATCGACGATATCTCCGAAGCTAGCGGCAGATCTGGCTTAGATCTTCATCTCAAGCAACTCCCTGTTTTTCCTTTCGACGCATCTCCTTGCCTCCAGACGAGAGGATAAAGGTTCAAGGGGTTCGAGAAACTAGCCGATTAGCAAAAAAGGCTTCAGCCATATCCGGTGTCTCGCCGGTCGTGCCATACAGAGGTAACTCCTTGCGATACCTCCTGACAGTGGCGGTTTTATCTATCCATTTCAACAAGATTCTTCTCGGGGATTTTGCCTTTGTCCAGCAGATGTATGGAATCTATGATCAGATAGAGACCAGTCCTTTTGCAGCACATTTTTGTGCAGGATCTGGAGGCCATGGGTGGTGGTCAATTGAAAATTATATCTCCGCACCTGCGTCCCAACGTCTCCATCGTTGAATCCCCAGGGGGTAACATGCTAGCAGAAAAGGTTAGGGTTCAACCAGGCTAAGCAGCATTCTAGAAGTGATTTGGATCCGCATCCGGACATATTATAGATCTGGTCTGGGGTTCTGGCTGTGAAAACTACCACTTTCGGTGAGTTTTAACGCATTATTAAGATATCGAACACTCCGCACAAGGGTTGATGGATATGTATTGTGCCATGGCGCATCAACTCAAGCTGGCTCCAATACAATCCCGGCAACATATGTATGAGATGTGTTAAAGAGGTTGAGGCTCCGCCAGGACTTCGGATCTTTTGTTCGGAGACATATATTGTCTGAGAAAACTGAGATTCTCTGCCGGCCTAGTCTATGCTGCGGATACGATCCAGAGGAAGCAATGATGCCTATGTCCTTATCTCCATGAGCTGTCCACGAATTACACTATTGGCAGCTGTGTCGATATGCGCTGATAAAGACGTTTCTAGGTTTTTTTTCTGCTGGGCGACCCAAATACGGGAACAGGTAGTCCAACATGAGGATCGAAACGGCCCATGGGAGTCAATGTCAATCTGCATATACGACTGATCGGGGATCCTGCATCCAACCGGGCTCGAGGTCGGATCGACGGGTTAGATGGAGAAGATGGCGATGAGAAGGGAGAATTGATATTTTGTTTGATTGATATAAACTGATATACGAAGCACGCCACGGAGCAGCCAATGATGAAAGACAAACAGATGACTAACTGCGTTTGGGGCACGGATTAGCGAGCGAACAGTGAGTTAACGCCGAACATTTAACTAACCGAAACTCATCCTGAGCCGCTGGACCGGCGTCTGGGCAAAGTAGTCGGGGGATCAGGATGGTTTCTGTGCTCATAGCTCGTTCGCTCATATCCGCTGCGGACGAGCCCCATTTCCTTGAGATAAGACATTACCCCTCCTACGGAGTATATTTACAAAGAACAGTTACAAAGGGCAAATCTTGGGAAGGTCTTGACATCTTCCCAAGTTCTGCCCACAAGATGTGTCTTATATTTGTGCATCTTTTGTCCTTGAATGTTTATCAGTGGCCGGCTAAGCCCCGCCGCGCCAAGTAGTGGCGTTGCGGTGGAGGCAATCGGGTAAATGGCAATCCTGAAAATGAAGATTGAGAACAAGAGTCAACGTCTTTGGTTGCCACAGGATTGCCGTGTTGTGAGCCAGAGCGTCGGAGAGAGTTGTGCATGAACCGGCGTCTTCGGCTCACCCTGCAGCCCTTTTGTTCTTCAATCGCCTCATAACTAACCATCCCTTCCAACCGGAAAATCGCATCTACTACCCACGTAAATGATTCGCACCCCTTGCTGGGGCAGCTGCATCCTGTCGACGAGGTATGGCTGGCCACAACCGCCATCATGAATCCAACAATTCGTCATCCGCCAACTCAACCTATTCCGACTTCAATCCAACTTACAGCCTGACCCCAGTTCCATCAGAGAGCAAAGGCAGTCCAAAGATGTTACCCGAACCCAACCCGGTCGCTAGGAGGAAGAGAAAGGCTCCCTCCGTTGCCTCGTCCCGTGGTGTTGCACACCTCACACCGGAGCAGCTCGCGAAGAAACGGGCAAATGACCGTGAGGCGCAGCGGGCAATTAGGAAAAGGACAAAAGCTCAGATTGAGACGTTAGAGCAACGGGTACAAGAATTGACCTCACAGCAGCCGTACCAGGACCTCCTGAAGGCGTTGAGCCAGAAACACGCAGTCGAGAAGGAAAATGAAGATATTCGGAGGGTGTTGGCCTCTGTGTTAGCGATGATCCAGCCGGTCGTGAATGGCGGTTTCTCTAAGGCCACTAATACAACTCCAAATTCCTGTAAAACGGAGCCAGATCCCTTCAACGGTACTGGTTCTTGCTCTCGTTCCTGGTCAACCCAATACCACGGCACCCCGCCCTCACCTGCATCCAACTCCGAACTGCCAGTCTGCCATTCCTCAACGACAGCAAAACCGGAACTTCCACTACGCACCCCCGCCTCGAACTTCAAGCCGATGACGGCCCCGGGTATGGGTCCTGCCGATTCCCCACGAACCCTCGACCACCCCCCTCCCTCCGTTGCTGTATCTCCAGGGCATGCACTCCCTCCCAACTGCCCTGGGAGTGCTGTCCCTACACATCCTACGGACCCACGATACCAGCCTAGAAACAATTTTGATTCTGAGAGAAAATGTCTTTCGCATGATCTAGATTTTTCAGGGTCGGGAGAACGGCTAGGGTTCAATTTTCTCCTGTCCTCTCCTCGACAGGTTCCCAAGATATCGGAACGCATACGGAGCTCCTCCTCTCCGCCCCTCAACGTTTCGATGTGCTATCGCCATGTGCCCCCATCCCCATACAACCAGTTTGACCCAAACGTTAGCCCCCATATGGTCCCTGTCCGCAACGTAGATCCAACATGCCCCATGGATGGCATTCTCTTAGACTTTCTCCGCACCCGCCAACGCGAAGCGGCAGATGGCACATCTAAACAGGTCCTCGTCGGACCACCATATCCCAGCGTCTCCTCACTCCTAAACCCGGCCAAGAGCGCATACTCCCACCCCCTCTCAAAAGTCTTCACGGACATCCTCAGCAAATTCCCCGGCATCAGCAACCTCCCCGAACAAGTCGCCGTCCTTTACGTCATGTTCCTCCTCATGCGGTGGCAAATATACCCCACGCAGCAAAACTACGACCGCCTCCCAGAATGGCTTACCCCGCGCATTTCCCAAATCATGACACCGCACCCTGCCTGGATGGATTATCTACCCTGGCCGCGCATGCGTGACCGCATGGTTGCCTCGTACAAAGACTACGAATTTCAGAACTGGTTCATCCCATACACCACCACGCTGAGCATCAATTGGCCGTATGAGGGGACTGATACGCTACTCACAACCGCAGACTCCGAAGAGCTCATTATAAACCCCGTTTTTGAGCGGCATTTGCGGAACTTGAATAATTGGTCGCTCGGGCCGGCTTTTGCCAAAGCATACCCAGGTCTTATTGACACGACGAGGATCGTTCCTGAATTGAGAGACCATCCCGGCCCTTCTGCTAGACCTATCAAGTGAAAGAGACGTTGGAATCATGGGGAGTTATTTTCGTATAAGTCTACTATATTTACACGTGTATGAAATAATTAAGCTCCCGGCCTCCCGATATACAATTCCGCTGCGGTTATTCTGTCAACGATAACATTATGGACACGAATCCTTTTTCCGTTTTCATCCTACTGGTTTGCTACACTTCCCTCTCCCTACACCACGAGGCACACTCATAGTTGATGATTCTCCCTCGAATAGGAAACCTCAGCCGGTATGCTAACCGTATACCCATCATATCATCCGGCTTCGTGTACCCACACACACACACACACACACACATATATATATATATATATATGTAGAGATATGTGTATTATTAAGCAAAACCAGGAAACACCACAACGTCAGATAAACCCCGCTCTCCCTCACTCAGCAGCCAACCACCTGCCACCCTCTCCACCCGCATCCGCAAACATAATTCCTCTTCTCACAATTTTCCCTTTTCAAGCGGGCATCTTCCTTGCACATCACCCACTCCCACAAATATCTGCATGAGAATATCGAAGGCAGTCTCTCAAAATGGCTAAGAGAAACATATAAACAGATGGGGGAATACATGGCATCCTTTGCTTTATGCTTCTTAATTCAGTAGTTGATATGAAGAATATATAGAGGGAAGTTTCATTTCTGGCATGGTTATTTTAAGTTTTTCTGTTACTATTTATTGATCAGTGACTTTGAATGGTTATTATCGGCTCCTTCAAATTGTGTCTTTTTGAGTTCCCGAAAAGGCCCCCTTTTTCCTGTGCTAGTCCTAGTCTTGTTTGGCCACCCACCTGGTGGGGGGAGCCATGATGTTTGCCCAAACACCCATCGACAGTACATCTATCGATCCTGAATAGCTTCCTAAGCATTTAGTTAACCTGCATAATTTCTCCTTTCTCCCCACTTATATCATCATATCACGGTGTCGTGTACAGGTCGCAACGAAGAATGACGCGATATTCTAGCGTTCCCCAAATCTTCGAATCACCCAGGTATACCCTATACAGCCTACGAAGTATATTCGCATATCACTCTTAGACGGATAACGAGGAAATTACAGAGAGAAACAGCCAAAAAAAAAATAATTCAGGAAAATAATGTCTTTTCCATTAGCCCCGCCATTCGACTCAACCGATTGTTGAGGTCGAGGGAAACCTTCCGGTGGTTCTTGTGTAGCACCGGTAAAAACCTCGACCAGGGCGCGAAGCTATCTATCGTCATCTAAACCGAGTCCTGCCATTTGGCTCTAAGGAAGAGGGAAACAATCCGATGGTTCTTGTGTGTAACATCGGTTAAAGAACCTCAACCAGGACCAGCTCGTTATAAGGTACACAAAAGTTAAAGGGGGTTAAAAGTTCAAAGTTCAAAAGTTCAAGAAAATCAAGCAAGTCAAGCAAGTCAAGCAAGTCAAGAAAGTCAAGAAAGACAAGCGAGTCAAGCAAGTCAAGAAAGTCAAGAAAAGTCAGGAAACAAATAAAATAAAAACGCACAGATTCAGAAAAGCACAACTTCAAAATATGCCGCAAACAAAAACGGGAAAAAATTGACAATGTGGATTCTGGACTCTGGACTCTGGACTCTGGATTCTGGATTCTGGCAGGAGTGGCACTTTTTTGTTGTTGTTGTTGTCGTCGTCTTTTTTTCTTTTCTTTTTTTCTGTTGGAGTTTGTTTGGTTTAGGGTCATTGGTGACCCTTTCCTATTTGAGGAGCTGCGCGTGGATAGCTGCCTTCCGGATTTCGCAAGAGGCGATTAGAATTCGGCTGAATTTAACTGACTAACTAGTGAAGTGGCTTCTGGCTTACCTCATCCGACAGGGACGAGGGAAGGCGGATTCGAACCAGTGGACGGCCTCCCGTGAGGATTTCGCTGGGAAGTTGTGCATAGATTCAACTGTGCACCCGAAAACCACCATTGCAGTTGCCGAAATGTTGACTTGGCCACGTCGTATCGATAGGATGAAGTATATCCGTGAGGTTTGGTAAAGGTGGAAGGTTGGTGTGAAAAAAGATGTTGAAGTGGTAAAAGTGCGCCTTGATAAACCGAAGGTGTTCAGGGGCTGTTGAAAGGAGAGGCTGGGGGAGTGTTGCTGGAAGAGGATTTCCCCGAATAATCGACCTTTTTTTTGATTTTTTTTTTTAATTTTTTTTTAATTTTTTTTTTTTTTTTTAATTTTTTATATATTTTTTTGGGTTTTCGGATTAGCTGTGTACGAGAACGGTTGAAGCTGATGCGAGAGTTTAGAGTTTAGGAGGTTGAGAGCGTTGCTGAGATAATCAAGGTTTCTCTGTTGAGAGCATTAAGCAAATATGGCAGCAAGTATCAACACCAGGAAGTTACTCACCGGTGAGCAGAAAGCACCGAGCCTGTATTTCCACGGATTCTTCAGAGGTAATGCCGTAGCAAATTCTTACGTGAAGTCACCGTTGTCCATATCACAAGCCACTGACATGCTCGACTTGCGACTGCTATTGCCCCCGCTGTCGCGAATTCCAACCACGCCGCAGAGATGTGCACGAGGCGCTGACCACGCGGATGATCTGTTTGGTTTGCAGCCTCAAGTGAAGTTGTGCGGTGGCTTAGAGTCGACTCGAAGAGAATTTCGTAGTTGATGCCGGGATTGTGTGGAGTGGAATAGGGGGCGATTGCGCACATGCTTCCCCAAACACAAAGCTTTCAGACGCCGTCGCCCGCCCTTTTTGAGCCCAAAATCAATTAAAACAAGAGAAGAACAAACGTTTGAAAGCACCAAATCGTCGGACGGTCCTTTAATCCAAATGTTTGTGGATTTCCCCAGATGGAATTAAACCCGTTTCGCGGCGATATCGAAGATTCTTGCGAGTTTAAAATTTCAGTGGCAAAACAGTACAGAAAACAAAGCTCTCATGGCAAAGCGAACGACCTGTCGACAGTGCGCTGGTTTCACATGGCCATCGTCTAGACGTTTGAGTAGGGGCGAGGGAAAGACTGCTTGTCGTGGTCATACAAGACAGATCTTTCTGTCAGGAGGGCTTGGGGTTCCACAAGATAGGGACATGTATTTTTTTTTTTTTTTTTTCTTTCTTGGGGTAGTTGTAAGGGAGAAGAAAGAAGAGGAGGAGGAAAGGGCGAAGATGGGGTTTTTATACCCTCCCCTGTGGCAAGAAGGGTTAGGTAATCGCCTGCTAATCCGACTCAAAAAGGGGATATGCTCGTCGACGAGGATCACGTTGCTCCCTTGGTAGAGGGTGTTTCTTGCCAGAGTCGAGGTGAGGGAAGGGAAGGAAGGGAGGGAAGATGCTCTTCGAACTGCCGAAAGAGGAAACAGCAGTGAGATCGATGCGAAAGGGTCGCCGGTCGCCATGGCTATACTGAACACTTGCGATTTGCTCACAGTGATACCTGCCTCAAAACGAACGTTGATAGCTCGCCCTCGAAGCCCGATGGAGGCTGGAGCATTTTAAATTGACGTCATTGGGCTTCCTTCAATCATGCCGAGGATGGCAATAGCACCCCGTAGCACTATCCGTATTCGAATCTGGCCATTGCCCCTCTGCAGGATGGGGAGGAAGGCGAAGGGCTCTTGGTAGGATTGGATTGAAGCCACTTGGGCAGGGGGTGAGAATTGCCCACTTCCAGTTAACTAATTAGTCAACGTAGCGCGCAGTGGTGGATTATGTAAGATATCGGATTGACACAAAGGCCAAAGACAGACCGGCTAAATATGAGCTGTATAGAGCTCTATGGCGAGTGGTTAGTTGCCCAAGGCATAAGGAGAAGCCGGTATGAGATTTCTAACAGGCTCCCGGGCGATGGCATCTGCCACTCTGCACGGTTGTAGGAACAGTATATAGAATCTATGATGACGGAGACTTCAGCATGTAGATCATTTTGCACACTGTAGAACTGTTGAGAGCAGCGATTAATCTCCTCCAGCCTGTCATCGGAGAATAGACACCAAAGAGGAGAAGCCTCAAGAGGCATTGACACCTCTATTAATCACCGCATTTTCATAGAAAGTCGACGACCATGTATCAGCTCCAGGGAGAAACTGCACTCGGGAGGAACTGTATATGCCAATGGGATTGAGAAGTGGTGAACGCAAAATCTGGGGTTAAGAGAGGCCTTGGTGCACAGTACAGTTCCGATTTCAGAGTGTCCTCTGTCAATTCCGCTTTTCGGCATCATGACTGGCAGTCCATGGGTGCCCATGTCCGTTACAACTGCAAGCAAGCAGAGTGTGGTGGTTCCTCAACATGATTCAGATCCAGTAGAGTGAAGTCCCGTTCTGAGATCACCTCACCATCTACGAGATTCCTACATATGGAGTCAGGACACACCATAGACTCTGATGACCAGCAACAAGGACATGATCGTGGCCTCTCAGTCTCATACGGAGGAAATAGATAGTAATCGCAGGTCTAAGGCCACACCAGGTATTTATGGTGTCATCTGCGGTTTCCTGTCCACAATCCTCCTCCCTGCAATACAGTGCGAGTCTCGCTCGATTTCTCGAGGACTTATGAGAAGGAGAGGGGCAAAAAGGGTATGTATACGCAATATCAAAAGAGATGTCTCATGGAAATGGAGGTAATAAATTAAAAAAAACAGCCTATTTTGTCGGCAACACGCAACTGAAGGGAGATTTGATAAGTTCATCTGGGTGGCTAGAAAAGGACGACATCCCTGTATAGCAGAAACTGTGTACGAACGGAGAAAGTCGCCCAACAATTCCAGCTCACATCCCAAGATAACTGGATAGAAATATGCGCTCAGAGAAGCCTGAGAATGAAGCATCTGTAGATTATCATCGTAGGACCAGGAGAAGAGAAACACAAGTTGCTGGTAGCATACTCAATCACCGGCGTCCGTGTGGTAGGCTGAAGAGGAGATGTACCAGAAGACAATGATGTTGTCGAGCTCGCGTTTTCAGCCAGTTTAAGTGGAACATTTCCACAGTGAGGCCGCTAAACCTCGTTAGGAAGAGCTTCGTCAACCCCCCCCCCCCAAGCAAGTAGTGAGCGGAAACGGGAACATCGACTAGCATCCCAACAATTGAACAACTACTGCATACTACAAAACAATCCAGCATCCACAGCCCCTCATCCACTCTCCAATCTATCGTGTGGGCTGCCCTTGACTCTGGTGTTCGCCAATCCAAGATATCGCGACAATGGCGGACCAGCCCCCAATCGGTATGCCAAGCGCAACATCCCACCCATCTCCGCATACCACCACTAACACCGTGATATGCAGTTCTTGACGGAGGTACCGGCTTCCTGAAAGTCGGATATGCGGCGCAGGTATGGATTTACCCTGCGCACACATTATCTACGAGAACTGTTGCTGATTCCAGAATTCATCGCGAATTTAGAACTTCCCCGAACACCAGTTCCCCTCCATAGTGGGGCGGCCGATTCTCAGATCGGAGGAACAGGCTGGGGATATCATTGTGAAAGATATTATGTGTGGCGATGAAGCTGCCGCTGCTAGATCGATGTTGCAAATTAGCTACCCTGTATGCCCCTCCCCTTTGACTGGTCCGGGTCCGGCGGCCACCGTCGTGTTTGTGTGTTTTGTGGGGTTACTGATGGCGGGACTCTGTACCGTACGCAGATGGAGAATGGAATTGTGAAGAAATGGGATGACATGCAACATCTATGGAACTATACGTTTTACGATAAAATGAAGATCGATCCTGCAGGTCGGAAAATCCTCCTCACGGAACCACCTATGAATCCCCTTAAAAACAGAGAGCAGATGTGCGAGGTGATGTTCGAGGGATACAGCTTCGGAGGAGTATACGTTGCGATACAGGCTGTTCTGGCCCTCTATGCACAAGGTGGGACACCATGGAGCGGGAGATACTTGAAAGTACTCAACAGACTGATGTGTAACGAAATACAGGTCTCAGCAGTGGTGTCGTGGTCGATTCGGGGGATGGCGTCACTCATATAGTTCCGGTTTACGAGTCCACTGTCTTAAACCATCTAACGCGCCGTCTCGATGTTGCAGGCCGCGATGTCACTCGTAACCTAATCGCCCTTCTTCTCCGACGCGGCTACGCCCTTAACCGTACCGCTGACTTCGAAACCGTTCGTCAAATCAAAGAAAAACTATGTTACGTGTCCTATGACCTGGAACTTGACCAGCGTCTCTCAGAAGATACGACCGTGTTGGTTGAATCATATACTCTCCCAGATGGCAGAGTTATTAGGGTTGGTAGCGAGCGGTTTGAGGCTCCAGAATGCCTCTTCCAACCCCATCTTGTCGACGTAGAGCAGCCTGGTATCGCGGAGTTTCTGTTCAACACCATTCAGGCTGCTGATGTTGATGTGAGGAGTAGTTTGTATAAGGCTATTGTTCTCAGTGGCGGTAGCAGCATGTATCCCGGTCTACCATCGAGGCTTGAGAAGGAATTGAAACAGCTCTGGTTGACACGGGTATTACAAGGGAACCCGGAAAGACTAAACGTAAGTCAAGGCCCGGGAATTCCCCCTCCTTTCGTGTGCTAATTATTTTCACATTTTTCAGAAATTTAAAGTACGCATAGAAGACCCCCCTCGAAGAAGACACATGGTGTTCCTCGGCGGTGCTGTACTCGCAAATCTGGTAAGCCATCCCAAAGTGCCACTATCTGTTTTCAAAGCCAAAGGAGCCAACAAACTAACCACCGGCTCTACCCCTCAATCCAGCTAGCAGACAAAGAAAACATGTGGATCTCGAAAGCAGAATGGGATGAAAAGGGTGCCGCTGCTCTCGAGAAACTTGGTCCAAGATAATTTATATCATTTCAATGTTGAAATCCTCCGCATGTGTTGCGCGCTGCAATCCAACCCACCCCTGACCACATCTCCCAAATCAACCCTTACGACCACCAACACAACCTGCACGATCTTCATCTGTTCGCAGCCCCATATACTTTATCCTCTTCCCTACAGTGCTTTCGCTTTGTTTTGTGTCAAGACACATTCACGCAGGGGCGTTGCGTGTTCAATTTCCTTATTAGAGCGCGTATCTTACTCTTTTCTTCTGTATTTTGCCAGTTCGAGAGGTGTATGTAGATACATAGCTACAATATCCATCCAAAAAAAAAAAAAAAAAAAAAAAAAAGATTAACCCTACTTTCCAGATGAAAAGAATAAATCACAGTATAGAAGGGGGAAGAGGATGGGCTGCATTGTGGTGCATGAATGAAGACGTGAACTGTTCTCTGGAAGGAGCCTTAACCACAGAACAGACTTGTTTTCCAGATGAAACCTATAAAACTACGCACAAACCTCTCATTGCAATCAAAAGCCAGGGGTCCTGCCCCTCCACCCATCTATATCTATCAAACGGTCCTCCCTACTTCAATAAGAGACATCAATCCCATCTAAAAAGCGCAAACACGATTTTTCACCCTTATACCCAACGTGAAAGGGAACAGGGAATAAAAGCAGGCAAAAATTGGCTGAAGTTGCACAACCCGAAAAACATAACCTCTCCAAAGGAGAATTGGGCTAATTCATCTCAATGAAAAGAGCAAACAGTCACCACCACCATGAGCCAATTCTCCTCTCATTTAAATCTAAGAAGGGATAAAATAAATTCAGCAAACACCGTGACAGAGGAATTGAGAATGAACCAGTGACAAAAAACAGACATAAGAGTAGCAGTAACAGTGACAGGAACAG